ACGCCGAGGCCGGACGAGATTGGCAGGGGCGCGAGCGTCCATTTCCAACGGCGCGCCCCCTTGGAAGCCGAGGGCGCAACTTCGAGCATGGCCTTCGCGCCCGCGCGCGGCCTTGCCAACCAATGGGCCGCGCGCGTGGCGGTGCCGCGGGACCCCGCCGAGACGACGCAGCTTTGCGGCCGCGCGGCCGAAATCCAGCCCCAGGCTTTGCGGGACCATGCTGCCGCCAGCGCTGCGCTGGGAAACCCGCACGGCGCGTATCCACGAAATGATCGAGTTGTGCAAGTACGCTACGTCCTCGATGTTCCTCTCCCGATGCCGTTTGACGTGCGCCCTTGGCGTTGCACGGCGCCTTGCGTCAGAGTGTTCCCAGTCGGTGACGCGGATATACGCCGCGCGTTCCCTGGCACCCTCGTGCACGAGCCCCCCAAGGAGGCGCCGATCTACATGACAGCGGCCTTCCTCGTACTCGTCATCCAGAGCTTCTACGAGGAGCTGAACGTACGCGCCGTTCGCCGCAGGGTTCTCAGCCTGTACGCTGCCAATGCGTTATCTTTGCAGCTCGGCTCTGGCGCGGCCGCCGCCGCGACGGCGGTGCCGCCACAGGGTGCTTTGCGGTCCATGCTCAAGGTGGCGCTCGGCAATTTCTTGGACATTGCCGTGGCTCGCGTGCAGCGCCTCCAGTGCTTGTACAATGGTCCGCTGGCCTTCAGACCAAATTCTTCGTCAGAGCCCACGGGGCGAGGGGCGGGATAATGGGGCGGGTGGCAGGGCGGGGGGGCAGCGCCTCGCTTGCCAACGGGTCTGAAGATCAGCGGGCCTCCAGGTCAAGTGATCCGAGGCGACGGCAACTTCAAGCTGGCGAAGCGGGTATGCATGCGTCTCTGGGGAAGGCGCTTCCCTCTGCGGCCGTACACTGTCGTCTTGGCGTGGACCGGGACAGACGGTAGCCTTTTGCAGCCCGTGGCTCTGAAGCGCGGAGAGACGCTCAACTGCATCGTCGAAGACTTGGCGCCGCTGCTGGACTCCATCAAAGCAACCCGCCTCGCTGAGGGTCTGCCGCCGGAGGCGTGCGCCCCCGCCTTCCATGCCACTGACAATTTCCGCAGTCAGCGCAATCGGCTTTGTGCCCTGTACAGGCAGAAGTGGCCAGAACTTCACACACGCGCGCTTGCGCGCACTCCGCTGGGCGACGCGGCAGGCAGCGCGGACGTGGATTCTTGCCCGACCTGCATCACTGGCGACCCAAGGCATGACGTCATCGCCCTGAGGAAGCTGGTACCTCCCACGTGCAACGACTGGCGCGATTTTATTGCCGACCACACCGACGCTTTGAACCGCTTGTCCGCGCCCCTCCCGCCAGCGCCGACCCTGGGGGCCTTGCCCTCGCCGCCCTCGCTGGCGGCGCGGCGCCTCTTGCGTTTCGGCGTGGAGCAGCCCGCCACCGCTTTCGGCCAGGAGATTTCCCGGCGCCCGCGGGCTGCGCGGGAGCTCAGGCAGCTGCTCGGCTCCGCGGGCGCGTTGCGGTCTCCCGTTTGGCAGGAGGAATTCCAAGCAATTCCGCCACGAGGGGCCCTCGAGCGATTGGCGAAGCGCCTGGGGGGCACCTTGCACCCTGACAACGGATTCCACAACTTCCTGGACCAGTCGGGCTTCAAGAAGGAGATCCGCCGCCTCAGGAAGTGGTGCAAGGCTGGGAGGAGGTTGACCCGCGCCCGGAGGGGAATGATCCGGAGCGACACGGCGCCCGCGCAGGTACGGGGAGTGCGCGCCGTGTTCAACGCGAAAGTCAGAACACATTATCGGCGGCTTCTGCAGAGCGCCAGGCTGGAAGGCTTGTTCGCGTGGCGCGATGCCGCCGTGGCCATTCGGGCAGCGGGGGTCGCGGTGCAGAGCGGCACCGTTTCGGTCGAGCGCGTCTGGAGCAGTCTGCTCGACATGTTTCCAGACCAGGCCCGGAACATCAGCCCCGAGTGGTTCGCTTTGTGCAGTAAGGTGGCTTTCCTGCGGTTCAACTACAGGCACTTTCACGCGGGCCGGTCGCCCCCCTGGTGCGACGGGGACCCGCTGATGGCGGAGAGGCTGGACCACTTGGCCGCCCAGCTGCGGCTCATGGCGGACGAGGGCCCCGACGACGGCGCGGAGGGCGCAATGGCGGCACTTTACCGGCCTTTCTCCTGAGGCCGCTGCCGCGGAGCTGGCGGTGGCCGCCAGCTCCGCGGGATCTGCGGCCATCCCAGGGCTCTCGGAGTACCTGCGTGGCGACCGAGGCGGGGCGCCCGGGCGTGGCCGCGCGGGGGGCTCCGTTGAGCCAGGACCTGGACGTGGGCGAGCGAGGGCCTGAGCCAGGTGCTGAGGAGCTGGCGGCGGCCGCCAGCTCCGCGGCGCCCGAGTATGGCCCGGGCGGCTGGGAAAACCGTGGCCGCGCGATCGGGCGTTCGCCTAGGTGCCTGAGTGTTTCCTCGGGCGCCCCGGTACGTGCATGCGGCCTTGGGCCAACGCTTGGCCATCACGCCATCAGCATCACCACGGTCATCAGCACCACCATCATCCATACTCATCATCACCAGTATCACCATGATCATCGTGATCATTATCGTCACCTCCTCCTCCTCCTCCTCCTTTTCCTTTTCCTCCCTTTCCGCCTCTTCTCAGCGCCTCCCCTCCCTCCTCCTCCTCCTCCCCCTCCTCCCCCTCCTCCCCCCCTCTCCCCGCGCGCGCCCTGTGCTTGGTCAAAAGGTCCAAAAGGTTCTCTGCCTCTCATCATTCCCCCGGATCCCTCTCTTGGCGCCGTCTTTGTAGCAGAGAGCAGCGCGATTATGAGGAGGCACGGGGGGGAGGGAAGGGTGATGAGAAAAGAGAGGAGGAGGGGGAGAAACGGAAAGAGCGCCCTCAGGAACCTGCCCGAGATGGCTCATGGCACCCTTCGCTCTCGGGAGCCTTGGTGTTGAGAGCTTGTTAAGTCGCCTCCCGTTCCCTAGCCTTGGTGGTAAGAGCTTGTTACGTCGGCTCCCGTTCCATAGCCTTGGTGGTAAGAGCTTGTTACGTCGCCTCCCGTTCCATAGCCTTGGGTGTATTAGCTTGTTACATCGCCTCCCGTTCCCTAGCCTTGGTGGTAAGAGCTTGTTACGTCGCCTCCCGTTCCTTAGCCTTGGTGGTATGAGCTTGTTACGTCACCGTTCGCTGTTGGGAGCCTTGGTGTGAAGAGCTTTTTGCGTTACCGATCGCTCTTTTATTTGGCGTCTCTGTGCCTTCTTGGCGGTCCTTTTGGGGCGATTTTGGGGCCCATTTGGGCTGTCTTGGGGCCCTCTCTTGGGCAGTCTTGGGGCCCTTTTGGGCCGTCTGGGGGCAGCTTGGAGGCCATTGGCCGTCTTGGGGACTCTCTTCGGGGCCTCTTGGGGCGGTCTTGGGAGTCTGTTGGGGCTCTCTTGGGCCTCTCCTGGGCCGTCTTGGTGCTCTCTTGGGCCGTTTCGGGGCCCTCTTGGGCCGTCTTGGAGCCCTCTTGGGCCGTTTTCGGGCGCTTCTGGCGGCCTCTTAGGCTGTCTTGGGACGATCTTTGGAGCCCTCTTGGGCCGTTTTCGGGCGCTTCTGGCGGCCTCTTAGGCTGTCTTGGGACGATCTTTGGAGCCTCCTGGGCCGTTTTCGGCCGTTCTTGGCCCGACAAAGCGAAATCCCGAAAAACCATCAAAAAACATTGAAAAATCAATGATTTTCGCCTCCTCGGGGACTCTTGGGAAAGCTCTTGGAGGCCACTTGGGCCATCTTCGGGGCCTCTTGGACCGTCTTGGAGCCATCTTAGGGCGTCTTGGAGGCCTCTTTGACCGTCTTGGAGCCATCTTAGGCCGTCTTGGAGCGCTCTTCGGCCGTCTTGGACCCGTCTTGCGCCTCTCTCGGGCCGTCTTGGGCGCCTCTTGGGCCGTCTTGGACGCCTCTGGGGCCGTCTAAGGGGGGGGGGGCGGCCAGTAGACGAGGTTATCCGGGCTTCGCCCCTCCCCTGGAACCCCTCCCTTTAGGGCTTCGCCCCACTAGAACGTCATCGCTCGTACCTCGCTCTTTCCGTTAAAAGGTCGTCAGAAGGCCCAGAGACGCCAAATAAGAGAGCGATCGGTAACGCAAAAAGCGCTTCACACCAAGGCTCCCAACAGCGAACGATGACGTGACAAGCTCGCAACACCACGGCTCTTTAGAGCGAACGGTTACGCAAACAATTCTCGACACCAAGGTTCCCAATAGCGAGCGGCAACCTCAACATCTCTGAACACCAAGGCTCCCAAGAGCGAGCGGCGCGTTACATAATCGATTTCTGGTTATGTGTGTGGGGGTTGCGGGCTACGAACCCCTATGAGCCTCGTCATCCGCTTCTTCTTCTTGCTGCATCAAAGCGAGCCGCGACCACGAATAATCGCGGGAAGACAATGGCCACAAAATGGCGTCGCAGGGGGCTCGCTTCAGCATAGACCAGCGGTAGGATGAGCGGCGGGGTTCATAGATGGAGCGGGTGAAGAACCGCCGCTGGGAACCTTGGTGTCGAGAATTGTTTGCGTAACCGTTCGCTCTAAAGAGCCGTGGTGTTGCGAGCTTGTCACGTCATCGTTCGCTGTTGGGAGCCTTGGTGTGAAGCGCTTTTTGCGTTACCGATCGCTCTCTTATTTGGCGTCTCTGGGCCTTCTGACGACCTTTTAACGGAAAGAGCGAGGTACGAGCGATGACGTTCTAGTGGGGCGAAACCCTAAAGGGAGGAGTTCCAGGGGAGGGGCGAAGCCCGGATAACCTCGTCTACTGGCCGCCCCCCCCCCTTAGACGGCCCAAGAGCGCTCCAAGACGGCCCAAGACCATCGAAAAGCGCTCCGAGACGGCCCAAGAGCGCTCCAAGACGGCACAGCTTAGACGATCTCAGCCTCTAACGCTTTCCAAGTCTCTCGAGCCTTCCAAGCCTCCGACGGTTTCTCCCGTCTCCCACGTTTTCGACGACCTTCCCACATATCCCAAGCTTCACATGTCACCGATCCGTAGCCTTTTTGGCTCGAGAGGTGCTCTTGTGGGGGTGAGGCGGGGGGTGCGGCCGGGGCGTGGCCGCGCGCTTTCGCCCGTCACGGGAGCGAGTCGGTAGCCGCTAGGATGGCTTTGCCGGCGGCAGCTGCGGAGGTTGAGGCGCTCCTGGTGCGAGCCGCCCAGAGTTCCAGAAGCACGTGTTTGCCGGAGGTGCTCAGGCATCACCAGGGCTTAATGAAAAACGACTCTACCTTTCCAATTTTCATTGGGTCCGAGGCTCTGTGTGCCTCCTTTAGGGTCGGGTGATACCTCGGTGATCTCGGGGCTTGGAGGTTCGCAGTTCAATGTTTGTAGAATCGTTTTTCATTGTTCCTTAGGCTTCCAGCAGCTCGGGGCTGCCGGTACACAGCGCCGAAGTACCTTGCTCTTATGCACAGGCTGCGGCGCGTGCTCGTCGCCAACCGGGCTGCGCAAAGTGGCCGCCTCGAAGCGGAGCTCGTCCGCTTTGCACGCGCGGAGGGCTGCCTGTCAGTTTCCGCGGCGCTTCGCGGAGTGCCCGGTGCTCCGACAGGTCGCGACCAACGGAAGGTTAAGAGATTCCGGAAACTCGCCGCTGTGATTCTGGAGAATCGCGCCCGGAAGGCGACGGGTAGAGCTCGCCGGCGCGTTCTCCAGGGCTCCCGGAGAGCGGAGGCGGCGAAAGCGCGCCAGCAGGCGGCGGCCCGGACGCTCCTGCTTCGAGGAACGGTGGGGCCAGAGGTGGCAGCTCGCATCCACCTCTGGCGACAGCACCGCCGCGTGCCGCGCCCTGCCCGGCAGCCGGTTTGGGGCTGCGCTTCCAAGGGGCCCAACACCCCGAGGGACCTCGAACGAGGAGTGCGGTACTTCTTCGCGCACTGGGCTTACGACCAGGAGCGCCACGACCTCGCCGAGGAGGTGGCCGGCGACCTCCGCAGCAACCGCGGCCGGCCGCTCCTGGAGTGGCTCCGGACGCGGCGCCACTGCAGGGCCACCTTTGAAGGGTCGGCCCACACGCAGGCTCTCCGGCGAGCGGGGGCTCGCCTGGGAGACGAAGGCCGCCGACGACTTTTCCTCTTGAACTTTGCCGGCTGCAACAAGCGCGAGCTGGTGGTGAAGCACGCGGAGCTAGTGCGCACCACCAAGGACGCGCAGGCTCTCTGCGACAAGGCCTGGGCACTCTGGTGCGAGCGGGCGCCCTACCTGGCGTCTGTCCCCGTGAGCGGCGCCACGGTGAAGCTGGGGGGGCTCCGGGGTTTGGCGGCTGCCGAGCAGGCCGGGAAGGCGGCACTCGGTGTCTGTGCGATGTTGCTGGAGCCGGGCTGTTACGGGAGCAGCGTGCTCCAGCAGCTCTGCGTGCGGAGGCTCACCGGAGTTAGCGTGGAGGAGGTGTGGACGGAGTTTTCCGGAAAGTACGCCCCTCGCGGTTTCTCCCCGGCCGCCGCGGCGGTGCGCTGGCGGGCCGTCGCGTTGTGCCTCACGGCGCACTGGCCCGCTGTTTTACGGCGCGCCGCGCTCCGGGCCATCGACGCGGCGGCCTGCGAGCACTCGTACTGCGAGTACCGGAAGTTCAAGGACGAATCCACAGCGGTGCGCTAAGACGCACACAACAGCAGCTCGAGGGGAAGGGGCGCCTCGAAAAAAAATATTCACTGCGTGGAGCTCCCCATATGTGCATCTACTCGCATGGACCTGTCCGCCGTGAATGTCTAGGCGCAAGAGCTTTCGAATACTAACGGGTTTCAGTTGTGACGGTCTGGACATCAATCTAACTGCGAATGAATTGGAGTGTGAATGAGCCTCAGGAGTACGTTCGCGTCTCTGTGCATGAGCCTGGGGCCTCCTGGGGCCTCCTGAACCTACTGGGGCTTCCTGGGGTCTCCAGGAGCCTCTTGGGACCTCCTGGGACCTCCTAGGAAGGTTTCGTGCCCCAGGAGAGGCGCAATCTATAGCAACAGACGTACATAAAACATTGCGGATTAGAGCCACAGGAGAAGGGCAATCTATAGGAACACGCGTAAAACACCAAGGACTCGTGCCCCAGGAGAGGCCCAATACATACGAACATGAATAAAACATTTAGGATTGTGTACACAGGAGAAGTACGGCTGGGTATGAGTAAGTCTGTGTATGAGTAAGTCTCTGTATGAGTATGTCTGAGTGTGAGTAAGTCTGAGTATGAGTAGATCTGAGTATGAGTAAGTCTGAGTATGAGTAAGTCTGTGTATCATGAGCAAGTCTGAGTATGAGTAAGCCCGACAGGAGGGGAGGAGAAATGAGGAGGAGGAAGGAGGAGGAGTAGGAGGCGTCCAAGTAACAACAAGGACCCCATCTTAGGATATGGGGAACTATCTACACATCTGTCCGGCCCGGGTTTTCCCTCGGAGCTCCGGGTTTTCTCCGAGTGTAGTTGAGACTGCTGCCTATCTCGAAACCAGCGACTTCGCTGAGTGCACTAGAGATGCCCCCCTCCCTCTTCCCCTTTGTCCCTCTCCCATCCGCCTCCACTCTTACTTTCACCCTCGCTTCCAGATTTTCTCTCCCCGCTTCTCCGACCTCCGGATTCCGGGGTCGCGACATTCTACCCTCTCCAAGAGATCCCCAAGACGGCCCAAGTGGGCTCCCAGAGGCTTCCCAGGAGGCCCCCGAGGAGAGAAACAATGTGAGTGGGCGCTCCCGGGGAGTTACATGTGACCGGGCGCTCCCGGGGGCTTAGGTAAAGGTCGTCATCAGGTTTCTGATTATGAGGGTCATGGGCACAAATGCGCGGGAAGAAAATTGGAACAGAAGGCCGAGAAAACTGGAGAAAGCTGCAGCAAGCTGGGGATAGAAAGCCCTATCCACTACCATCGAGGAGGGGGAGGAGGAGGAGGAGGAGGAGGAGGAGGAGGAGGAGGAGGAAGAGGAGGAAGAACAAGAGTGTCAGGCCGCAAAGGAGAACGGTGGCCCCGAAGCCACGCAGGCTCTACAAACGCCCGCGGCCAGAGGGCGCCTGGGCGCCCCGCGCGCTATGGCGCTCAAGATGCGGCCCATTTCGGGCGACGGGGGCTGTGGGCAGGCCGACTTTGACGGCGCAGCGCTGCTCATGGAACAGCAGGTGGAGGAGGAGTCCAGGCGAGATGAAGAGGCGCGCCGAACTCGCGTTCAGGAAGCCGATCGGCTCGCACTCCGGGCAGGCGACACGACCGTCCTCGAGAGCCTGGATCAGCAGTGGGTCGGCGCCGTCTCACAGGCCCTCCCGGAATGGCTCCACGTCGCGGAGAACAGGGAAGCTATGTACGAGATGCTGCTCGTGAAGGCCAAGGCGTGCAAGTGGTATTCATCGCCACCGCACGCGTACTGGGATGACGCGTTCGACCGCATGGTTGGCGTGTGGCGGCGGCCGCCAGCACAAACGCTTGTCCCAGGAACGGATGGCGTATTAGTGGGGCCGGCGCTGGCGCATTGGCTTCGCTCGGAGACGCAGGCGGTGGCCGCCGCTCTCCTGGAGCAGCCCGCGCCCGCCAGCCAGGACTGCCTCAACTGGCTCCCGAAGATATTCCATGATGTCCGGCGGTGGCCGCCTGACACTATGGAAGCGGAATCGCTTTCAGCGGATGCTGCCCCCGTCGGCAGTGGCCCGCCGGCGACCTCGGAGGACACGGGCAAAGACGAGGCGGCCGCCATTGCACCTACGGCGACGGCGGGGACGTCGCCGGTGACCTCTGGCCGGCCAGCGGCTTTCGCCGGCGACGGGGGCGGGGCCCCCAGGGAGGAGCGGCCGCCGATGGAAGAGCACGCGTCCTTCAAGGTGGGGGACAAGGTGCAGTACTGGAGCGAGCGCAATGGGAAATGGATCGACACCCTTGTTGAGGCCACGCACGAGAAAGATGGCCTTGTGTCCTTCGACCTCGCGTGCAAGAAGGGCTCGCCGGTGGACAAGATTCGGCCGGCTAACTTCGTTTACGAGGTGGGCGACGCTGTGGAGTATTGGAGCACCTCGGCAGCGCGATGGCGCAGCGCCAGGGTTATCAAGACGGAGAGTTGCCCCGCCGGCCACATAAGACTTGGACATCAAGACCTCCGCTCCGCTGTCGAAGCTACGCCCGCCAGCGGGCGCATCACCGCGCTTCGCGCCCCCCGGCGGCGCGGCCCCTGCCGGCAGCGGCCCGCGGATGCCACTGGAGGAGGGGCCCGAGGGAGAGGCTGCCGACGCCGACGCCGGGGCCGCCGCCGCGCCGCGCGCAGATGCTGCCTCCGCCGCCGGTGGCCAGCAGGCGCTGGTGGGGAGGATGGCTGACGGCGCGGCGGTAGCCGTCGCGGCCAACCGTGGCGAGGTCACTGGGCCGGCGCCAGAGGGGCCCACTGCGGCTCCCGTACCAGCTCCCCTTCGCATGACTATGGCGTTGGAGGACAGGGCTTTCACCGTCCTCGGCGCCGCGGTGGCGGAGCTCATGTTGACGGGCGAGAAGCAGTGCGAGAACCGGGGGCAAAAGATCTTCCAGCCTGGGTGGCACTGGTTGCACGTGGGGCAGAAGGGCGAGCACGCCGTAGTGGGGGAGATCTTGCAGCGCACGTCGCCCCAGATTGCGGCAAATCCGCGCTTGCCCCGGAGCGCCGTGGTCGGCATGGTGCTCCTCGGGGCGCCGCGGCCACCAGGCGACCTGGATGACCCCTGGGCCATTGGGCCGCTCTGCTACCCCATCCTCGCAGCCGTCTCGCTTGATGCGCCCGTGTCGCCAGTCAAGGGCGGCCAAGGCCTGTGGCGTTTAGACGAGGAAACGAAGTTGGCCTTGGGTCGCACGCTCCCTGGGGCAACGTACCTGGAGTTCCCCGGGGCGGCGCCCGCGTTGCAGCGGGCGCCGGGGCAAGAGAGCCTCGCGGAGTCCTCGCCGACGCCGCCCATCGGTGACAAGCGCGCCGGGGGCGAGGACGCCTGCGCCGCGCAGCCCCCGCTCGCGACGAGCGCCCCGCCAACGTACCGATGCAGGCGCACCCAGCCGCAGCGCTCGGCCACCCGCGCGCCAGAGGAATTGCAGGTCGCAGCTGCGCCAGGGCCTGCGCGGTCCCCAGGGGCGCCCGCCACTGGCATGGGCGCCGAGAGCGGCGACGAGTGCGCCACGCAGTCGCCGCCGATGCCACCCCTCGCCGACGTAGACGCACAGGCCGAGGATGATTACGCCACGCAGTTGGCCCTCGTGCTCGAAGATGGCGGCTGCTCCCCCGGGTCCCCTTGCACGCCGCCGCGGCCCAGGGGCGGGGGCAGCGAGTCCCCGCGCGCCGCGACGCCGGCCAGCGCTGGTTTGCGAGACGAGTACCACGGCATTGTCCTGTACCAGGAGGGGCACCACGGACCAGGCCCGCAGCAGGAAGCGCCGACCGAGGACCCGCTGGCCCCCGAGGGCGACATCTCCCAGCGCATCCAGCACGCTACCGAAGCGGAGTGGGGCGAGATGCACGCCAAGGGCCTCTGGGGCGGATTCCAGGAACCCGGCTCCATCGAGGCCACCGTCCACGCCGCCCTCTCGGAGATCCTCAAAGACACCAGGAGCCATCGCGAAGTGGGCTCCGACGCAACCTTCGGCGTGCGCCTGCTGGCTCCCGCGCCGTTCGTCGCTGCTACGCGCGCGCTCTGCGCGCGAGAGGGCTGGCCTGCGGAGGCAGTGCTCTTGGACCTCATGGCTTTCGCGAACTTTCTGGAGACGCCGGGGGCGACCCTCCGACAGCATAGCAAGGAGATCCACTCCCGCGCCCCCGCGTTGCCCTACCTGCAGGGGAATGAAGTATCCAAGCGCAAGAGCTCCAAGAATAAGTTTTTCTTCGAGACGCTCTTCGGCATGGGCCCAGTAGACTGGCAGCAGCAGGCCTTTGTGTGCAACGACGGAACCCCCAAAGGCATGAGGTTGGCTATCAAAAACCACAGCCGGCTGGCCATCGTCTCGGACGAGTCTAACAGAACCTACGAGACCCCCTGGAGTGAGAAGGCCAAGGGCATATATCCGGTCAGCAGGGCGATGCTTTGCACGCTGTGCAACTGCGAGACGGACAACTCCATCGCGGGGATGGGCGCCCACCACAGCATGGAGTACAATTTCCTCCACGCAGTCACGGGCCAGCGCGAGTCGGTGGAATGGGTTGCGAGGCCCAGCCCTGGTGGCTTCACGAAAAGGCTCGCCCTCACGTCGAGCCCGCAGACACTGTCCAATCCCAGCCAGCAGGCGGATGACTCCCACAAGTTCTTCAAGGATTTCGCGGCTTGGGGGTTCGATCATATCATGGCCCACGAGAAGCCCCGGGGCAGTTCTCACCAGCCGCGCGCGGCCAGTCTTCCGAGAGATCCCGCGGGCGATCGCGTCCTTTGCCGCGCCCGGGGGGCCCGCGCACAGCGTGCTCAGCGACAGGCCTGACAGCGGCGAGTCTTCTGATGCCATCGCCGCTGCGTGGGGATTCTTCAAGGAGAAGATCGATTACGCGGACGCGGACCTCGCCCGCGTCGCCAACGCCAACGCGCGCTTCGACGACTTCCTCCGGTGGCAGAATGGAAAGATTCCGCTCGAGGACGGCCTGGGGCACCACGCGCTCATGCACGCGTGCCACTACCTCCTCCGCCAGCTCCATGTTCATTGGACGTACTACGTGTGGTGGTTCAAAGTCTTGCAGCTGAACGAGTACAGCCTGAAGCGGGTCGCCGCGTACTTGTCGCCAGGTGGCTGCGCCCCAGTTTCCCCCGCGAAGAAGAAGGCGAAGTGGCTGGAGGGGGAGCCCAAGCCGCAGCCCACTCTCCGCGACGTGATTCACCGGGCCTTGCTCCAAGATGCCCGCCTGAAGGGCTCGGACACCAATCGGGTGGCAGCAAACAGCGCGCGCCAAATCATCAAGTGCCTCGGCGCCGTCAGATCGTCGACCTCGCAAGGCCTGGCCGCCGCCATGCGCGCCGCCATCGCGGACCTGAAGGACTTCGGCCTCCTGAAGGTGACCCACGCTGCCGGGCAGAAAAGGGCCGCTGAGAGCACGGAGGCGGAGGCGCCGCCGCCGAAGCGAACCAAGGCCTACACGTTCTATCGGGCGCCCGCGCACGCCCTCGGCGCCGCCGCCCGTGCTGAGTTGAACCGTCTGGGCCTCAGCTTGGACACGTTCGACTGAGTGGTAGCGCGGTGCCTCGCCGAGGAACTGGCGGCGGCCGCCAGTGCCTCGGCGACTCGGGGCGGCCGCGCGGCACGCGCGGCCCGAGGGGGGCACTTGCGCGGTCAAGTGCGGAGTGAGGCGGCTGCCGCGCGCGCGCGCGCGCAGCCGCCGCAGCAATGGCCACGCTTTGCATGCGAGACTGCCCTGGCTCGGCGCGGTGGCGCGGCGCCGCCAGGGATTCTTCCGCGGGGGCGTTTGATCAAAATGCAATGCCTTCCTTGCCCCCACACGGGAGCCCATCGCACCTGGCCCCGGGCGCAAACGACGCAATGCAGACACCGGGGTCGAAGGCATGCCCCCCCCCCCCCCCAGCACCCCCCGACCAAATGCAGATATTGGTATTGCCCCGCCAGGGGCCCGCGAGGGGGCCAGACAAAAAGACGAGGGCTGCGTTGGCCTCCTGGCCTTCCCGCGAAAACGATGGGATCAAATCTTTTGAACGGGGCGCTGACGGCGCGATGGGATGGCCAGCAGCCGGCATTTCCTCTCAAAAGGCAATTGGTCCGAACCGCCCCCGCCACCGAGCGTTGGGGATGCCGCGCCGCAGCCCTGGCGCGAGGCCGCGGTCCCGCAGCCGCTGCCCTCGAAGCCGCAGCCGCATCAGGAGCCCTTCTGGGGGCGCTGTCACGACAGACGGCGATGGCAATCTCGAGAAGTTCTACCGCGACAGGCCTGGGCTCCCAGAGAGCGAGTGGGACACCGCGCGCCAGGGCCAGCGAGCCCGGCGCCGGCGCCGCAATGGCGGCGTGAGGAAACGAGAGGGAGATTGGGATTGCCCGCGCTGCGGGCAGATGGTGTTCAAGACGAAGGACCACTGTTTCAAGTGCGGGCAGGCCCGGCTTGATCCCGCGCGCGCCGAGCATCGGAGGAGCGCTTGCCGCGCGGTGGGCGACAAGGTACACTACTGGAGCAAAACTTATGGGATGTGGATCGTTGCCACAGTTGTGGCGCTGCCAGCCGAGGGGGTCCTGGACCTGCACTGCAAGCGGAGGGTGCCAGCGGCGCAGGTTCACGACGTTGACGTGGCAAGGCTCAGGGCGGCGTTCGACGGAGTCGCTGCCGGCAGCCCTGCTCCCGCCCATCCTGGTGCGGCCCGGCGCCATGCGGCCGATGCCGAAAGGCTCGTGGCGCGTGCCCCCGTGGCCGTGGCCAGCGCCGAGGAGCTGGCGGCGGCCGCCAGTTCCCCGGCCAGGCTGCCCACGCCACTTTAAGCCCGTAGAAGTCCGCGCGCTCGGGCTCGGGCGACCCACGCGGCCGCCGGAACATAAGAAGGATGAGGGTTGAGAAAACAGTAGGGAGAGAGAGAGAGAGAGAGAGAGAGAGAGAGAGAGAGAGAGAGAGAGAGAGAGAGAGAGAGAGAAGGAGAAAGAAAACGAGCGAGGGAGACATGATAGAAAATGGCAGTGGCCCGCCGGATGGGGACCAAATCTTTCGAACGAGCGCCACGCTCTGTTTGGGACGGGGCCTAGAATCTTGTGAGGGGCGTGCCGACGTGAACAGGCGCTGGCGTCGCCTCCCCCTGGGTCCGCGGACCGTGTGCGTCGGTCGTCCTCGTCGTCGTTGCGGCCAGCTTCGGCGTCGTCTCCGCCCCCGCCGCGGCCTGCTCGCCTCGACCACGGAGGACAAATTGAAGGGGAGATGGGGGGAGAAAAACCAGGAGGAGGAGGAGGAGGAGGACGAGAAGGAGGAGGAGAAGGAGGGGGATGGGCGATGATGGTTCTTATGGCGATGATGGGGGGGGGAGAAGCAGGAGGAGGACGAGGAGGAGGAGGAGGAGGAGAGAAAAGAAGGAGGAGGAGGAGGAAGAGGAGAGAAGGCGGAGGAGGGGGAGGAGGAAAAGAGGAAGAGGAGAAATATGAGTGAGGTGTATATGTTTCTAAGATGTGCTCAGCACGTGAAACCTTTGTTTCAATGCAGTTCCACTGAGCTCGGCGGCCGTGGGCCCTGCCGTCCACCGGGCCATGGTAAGGCCGCCCACTGGCAGCTAAGGGTGCAAGGGTGCAAGGGGGCAGGGCTGCACCCTTAGCGGCTAAGGGTGCAAGGATGCAAGGGGGCACCGTTGCACCCTTAGCTAAGGGCGCAAGGGTGCAAGGGGGCAGGGCTGCACCCTTAGCGGCTAAGGGAACAAGGGTGCAAGGGTGCACCGCTGCACCCTTAGCTAAGGGTGCAAGGGTGCAAGGGGGCAGGGTTGCACCCTTAGCGGCTAAGGGTGCAAGGGTGCAAGGGTGCAGGGATGCACCGTTAGCTAAGGGTGCAAGGGTGCAAGGGGGCAAGGCTGCGCCCTTAGCGGCTAAGGGTGCAAGGGTGCAAGGGTGCAGGGATGCACCATTACCGGCTAAGTGTGCAAGGGTGCAAGAGTGCACCCCGAAATTAGCAACCCTGATCGCCCCCACGCTGTTCACAAAGATGCGCCAGTTAGGGCCAAGTAGTCACCACAATCGCGGCCGCAGCGGTTGTGCAAAGCAGGTTGTTGTTGGGATGGTGGGGTGACTGCGCGAGCACTGGAGTTGGCAGTTCACGAGCTGAGGGCCCTAAGAACGTCTCAGGAGTGCTTCAAGCGAGTTTTTGAGCAAAGGGGGACCTCAGACGAAGGACGCCGAGTGCTCCTCACGCTGAGGTTTGGCTGGGCCGTCACGGCATCGCGGGCCCCGATAAGGCTCAATGGGACCCCCAGGGGCTCCAAAGCGGCCCCTAAGACATTACAGGAAAGCCCCCAGAAGGTGCAGCGTTTTCCCAGGAGACCACTAGAAGTTCACCAGAGGGACGAACATCGCTCCACGACGAACCGATATCGGTCGAATGCGGCCTCAAGAGTGCCCGAAATGGCCCTACGAAACAGATTGGCCAGCCCAGGATTCTCCAAAAGGGTGGGTTCGGTCCGCGCAGCCTGGTCGGCCCCCGCCAGGGGGGCCCAGCGGAGAAAACACTCCCAGCGCCCAGTGCGAGCTTGATGCAGGTCGCGGCCACGACCACCAGCCAACGCGCGCGCGCCGCGGCCTTGGTCCAGCATGCGCAGGTGAAGAGCGAGGCGGACCACGCCCGCCTCGGCTTCCTGGTGCTGGCGCTCCGGGGCAAGAAGGTCGGGTTCGAGACTGTGATCAACATGATCGACGATATGGTCGTGTTGTTCAAGAAGGAGCAGGCCGATGACGCGGAGAAGAAAGAGTATTGTGGCTCGCAGTTTGATTCCACAGACGACAAGAAGAAGTCGCTGACCCGCGAAGCGTCGGACCTCGCGACCACCCTCGCGAGCACGGAGGAGAGCATCAGCAGCGCTGCGGAGGACATCTCAGCGCTGGAGGCCGGCATCGCGGCCCTCGACAAGAGCGTCGCGGAGGCGACGGCGTTGCGCAAGGGCGAGCATGAGGAATACAAGGCGTTGATGGCTGCAGACGGCGCCGCGAAGGAACTGCTCCTGTTCGCCAAGAACAGACTCAACCAGTTTTACAATCCCCGCGCGCTGCCGCGCCTGCCTCCGCCACCGCGCCGAGGGGAGGGGGGGCGGGCTCCAGGGGAAGGGGGGGGAGGATCCGCGGAGCTCCCGGACAGGCGCTCTTGCTTCTCGTGGCTCAAGAGACGGGAGTCAATGCAAACGGGGGCCAATGCAAACGGGGGTCAGTCAGAGGGCTGGACCTTGCAGGATCCTGCAGAGCCAGGGGTCCCTTGACCCGGGATCCTGCAGAGCCAGGAGTGCATTGATCCGGGTTTGGGTGCAGGATTTTGCAGGATCCTGTGGGATCTTGCAGGATCCTGCAAAGCCTCACTGACCGATTGACCTGGGTCAGTAGATCCCCGAGCTTCTGGGCCCGTGTGCCGCGACGAAGGCGACAACTGGCGGCGGATCCTAAGCTGTACAACCCGCCGGCCAAGGTCGAGCTCTCCGCCCAGGGCGCCATTGAGCGCGACATGGGCAGCGCGGCGGCGCTGTTGCAGGTCTCCGAGCGCGCGGGGCGCACGAGCGCTGCCGCGCCGCCGCCGGAGACCTGGAGCGCGTACGCGAAGAAGTCCGAGGAGAGCGCTGGAGTCATTGCCATGATGGACCTGCTGATCAGCGATCTCGACAAGGATCGGCGGCGAGCGAGGGGGGGAAATGAGAAGGATATGGCCTTTTCAGAAGGCGGCGGGGCTTCTCTCAAGCCCTCGCGGCGTCTGAGTGGTTTCCTGCGTTTTCGAGGAAGGCCCAGAGAACTTCTCAGAAGGCCGGGGGACCTCTGTGCCCTCCGAGGAGGCCTTCTCTTTCTCGCTTCCCCCATGGGCTCGCCGCCTGAAGGAGATGACCGAGGCCGAGACGGAGGAGAAGGACTCGCAGGCGGACTATGACAAGACGATCGCGGGCGCGAAGGACAAGCGGATGACCGACTCCAAGGCGCTAACGTCCAAGGCCGCCGAGAAGGCAGATTTGGAGAGCGACCTGCAGGCGGCCAAGGGCGACAGCGCCAGCACGGCCAAGGCGCTCATGGCAACGGACAAGTACCTCTCCCAACTCCATGCCGAATGCGATTGGCTCATCCAGTAGCGAAGACGCCTAGGGCAAATCACCGCCGCCACCTGCCCGTTGGAAGCGCCTATGTGACCGAACGCTGCGGTCAGAGCTCGGCCAGGCTATCGGACTACGTGTTCTCCCAGCTATTGTGAGAATCTTTCGGGGACCGTGTGGGGGATAAAGCAGAAGAGGAGGAGAGGGAGGAAAAAAGAGGAGGCCTCTTGGGGGGGGCACTCTTGGGGCCTGGGAGCTTCCTGGGGGCTTCTTGGAGGCCTCTTGGAGGTTGGGCCTCTTTAGGCCTTCTTCGGAGGCTCCTCAGTAGGCTCTTTGTCCGTCCGAGGTTCCTGGCCCGTCGGAAGCCCGCTTGGGGGCCTCACTGAGCCGACTCGGGGCTCTCTTGGGGCGCTTAAGGGCCGCCTTGGAAACCATATTGGGCATCCTGGAGGTATCCTGGGACATCTTGCGGCCCTCTTGGGGCCGTCCTGGGGGCCTCTTGGGCCGTTAGGGGGTCTTTTCGGAGGCCTCTTGGCCTCTGCTGCCGTCTTGGGCCGCCAGGAAGCTGAAAATGAGCAAACGCCAGAATCCTGATCAAATCGAAGAATAATCGATTATATTGGCCTTTGGATCCGTGCTGGAGATTCCTTCGGAGGCTTCTTGGAGCGGACCGTTTTTGGGGCCTCTTGGGCCGTCAGGGGCGATCTCGATGTTGGGCCGCCTTGGGGGCATTTGGAGGGTCTTGGGCCCACCTTGGGCACTCTTCGGGCCATCCCAGCAGTCTTGGAGGTCATCTCGGCCGTCCTGGAGGCCGTCTTGGGGGCGTCTAGCACGGGAAGGCAGGCGACCTGGGAGTTTGATGGGACCTCATCGGGCGGAGAGCCGAGTTGCACCGTCTTGTCCGCCGCGCTGGTGCGATCGGCCGAGACTCTATTGGGATCAGTGTTCAATCTGACACGCGGTGCACCTCTGTGGCAAGCCAACAGGGAGCGGCGGATCGAAGACGCCTACGGTGAATCACCACCGCCCCCTGCCTTTTTGGAGGCGCCTATGTGACCGAACGTTGAGGCCAGACCTGCCAAACTATCGGACCATGTGTTCCCCGAATCAGTTTGGAAAGCTTTCGGGGAATACGTGGGCATCTTGAAGGTCATCTTGGCCGCCAGGAGGCCATTTTGACCCTTTCGGGCCTTCTTGGAGGACGTCTTGGAGGGCTCTTTGGCCGTCTTGGAGGCCATCTTGAGCGTTTTGGAGGCCTCTTGGACCGTCTTGGGGGCCTCTTGCGGCCGTCTTGGACCTCTTGGGCGATCTTTGGGGGCACTTGGGCCGTCTCGGGCCATCGGAAGGCCGACAAAAAGCAAATGCCGCAATCCTTCAAAAACTCATGGGCAATCAATGCTTTTGGCCTTTTCGGGCCTTCCTGGAGGCCCTCTTGGAGGCGTCTTGGGCCGTCTTGGGCCATCTTCGTGCCATATTCGGCCGTCTTGGTGGGCCCCTGGCCCGTCCGACGCCGTCGGAAGCCGTTTGGGGGGCCTCTCTGAGCCGACTTGGGGCCCTCTTGGAATGCTCAAAGGCTGTCTTGGAGGCCATCTTGGGCGTCTTAAAAGCCTCCTGGGCCGTCTTGGGGGCCTCTTGGGGGCCTCATGGGCCGTCTTTGGGGCCCCTTGGGCCGTTCTGGGGCCATCTTGGAGGCCTCTTGGGCGATCTTTGGGCGATCGTTGGAGGCTCTTGGGCCGTATGGGGCCGTCGGAAGGCCGAAACGAAGCAAATGTAAAAATCTGTCAAAAACCTTAGGAAAATCATTGTGTTTGGAATTTCTGGCCTTCTGGAGGCCCTCTTGGAGGCCTCTTGGGCGTTCTTGGGTCAGCTTCGAGCCAACTTCAGGGCCGTCTTAGAGGCCATGGTAGCCGTCTTGGAAGCCATCTTGGGCCATCTTGGGGCCGTCTGGGGCAGGATAACGGTTGGCAACCGCCTCCTTCCGGGACCCCAGCGGGACGAGCCGGAGCCCCAGGAGTAGTGTTTTTGGAAGAGAACCAAAACCAAAACCGAAATCGTCTAGCACGCCAGGCACTCCTGCGATGAATTGACAGGGGGCGGCGGATCTAGTGGCCTTCGGCCCACCCCACCACTGCGCCTGGAACGTCGGCCAGACGTCGCCTGGATGCACGCGGAGCCCTGTTCGGAGGCATATCGGACAGCAGTTTAGGGGTGTCTTGGTGCCTCGTGGGGCCTGCTGGGGCCTCTTTTGGCGCTCCTGGGGGCCTCCTTGAACTTCTTCGGGGCATCTCAGGGGCGAAGGACTCGAAATGTCAGTTCGAGTTCTCCCTTCTGGGGCCCTCTTGGCCGTCTTGGTGGCCTCCTGGGTCGTCTTGAGGCCTTATTGAGCCGTCTTGAGGGCTTCTGGGGACATCCTGGGTCATCTTGGAGCGATCTTGGGAGCATCGTGGGCCGTCCTGGAGCGTTGGACGCTCGACATGGCGAGAAAGCTATCATCTGGCAGAACCTGTGAAACATCTATAGTGTTGCCTCTTGAGGCCCTCTTGGGGGGCCCCCTGGAGCCCTCTTGGGGCGTCTTACGCGCCTCCAGGAGCGTCTTGAGGCCGTCTTGAGCCTGGAGCGTCAGGAATAGTTTTGCGACAAGCTTCACAGGGTCTGCGGGGAAGCCCCGGTGGCGGCCAGGAGCAACCAGAACTCGGGGTTCATAGAGACCACTGCAAGACCAAGCGTAGAGGACTCGAAGGGACCTGAGGACATTACACTTCGTGCCTCAGGGCACGGTGGCGGATTTCGATGCAAGGGAGGAGGCGCGCAGTGGGGAGATCGACGCGCTCGGACAGGCCAAGGCTGTGCTGAGCGGCGCCGACTACTCGTTGCTGTAAGTAGGCCGCCATTTCGACAGAGCAGAAGTCTAGTAGTGGATGCAAGACCGCGGAGGATGGTGATCCGGAAGGATTAGAAGGGAGGAGGGGAGGAGGAAGGTAAAGCTCGGCGATGGAGTATGCGCATGCCGTCCTTCGAATAACAGAGTTGTACCTACTTGTAGTAGGGCGCCTGGGCAGGTGAATGTACTGACCTAGGCTGACCTGTATGGAAACAGCATCGGCATGTTGAAGGGTCACAGCTCAGTCCACGCGCCACTTGCGAGACTTCGGACGATCGCCAGGGTGCCAGTCCAGCTGGTTTCCCCTGTCCGCTCATGCAAACGCACAACTGCAAGACGGCACCTGAAGTAGGCCCAGCTGCCTCGTCTACGAGCGCACGTGGATCTGGGCGGGCACGATATTCGCTTCCACGTTCCCCCATCCGCAGCAATTGAACTCAGGCTATTACCCCATGCGATCAGCCACTC